AAACTGCCTCGGGCGGAGGAGCACCTTCGAGACCTAACTTCCACAGATCCATACGACCACGGCCCAGAGCCACGGCAGCAAGTCCACAGACCGTGGCAAGTGTGTGAGGTGGTACGTACGTTATTAGCTTGGTTTAGTCGATCCACGATATGTGTCTATCTCAAGACATCATTTTGAGCACAATAAATATATATAGGCTTTCGTCAACTAAAAGTTAAAAAATTATTTTTTCAAAAAAAGAAATCACACCCATGGCTATGTTTGCCCCAACACCACAGACACAATTCAGTTTCTTTAGGGACGTGCTTGCTTCCCAGATGCCACCAAATGCCTCAGTGACACTGCCCTGAGCTCGGCGCTAACCAGCACTTTCGTGTTCCCCAAATCCTTTCTCACGCCCCCCAAATCAAATTAGATGCTGAAATGACATCACCGACCATTAGAGACAGGAGAATTGAGGGCTCCCCCGGACATTCCTCTGGGTGCTGAGGTCGGGAGGTGGCAACACGCGGTGTGCACCCCAGGAAGGAGACTGCGGGACGAAGGAGACACAGCCCACCCTCCCCTCACAGACCCAGAGACACAGACACAGCCTGAACACGCCTCGTTTCGCAGGATGGTCCAGACTCACCTGGAAGACTTTCAGGTACTCGGGGAGGACGGCGGCAAACTTGTTGACGGTGTACACTCGGGCCTCCCTGTTGTTCTCCATGCTCCTGTGAATGCTCTTCCAGAGGATCACAATGACCTCCAGCAAGCCCGCCATGGATGCCACGTCGTTCACAGACAGCGTTTTGTCCAGAACCTGGGACACAGGCAATGTTGTTGCCGAAGAATCTAATCATAACAACCACTGAAAGGTAACAGCGCTCTCTTTAAAACCTGGCTCGGAACCGGAGACAGAAAGCAGAAATGTAGAGAATGCCAAGTCTATTTCCGTGTCATAACATGATTTTACTCCCTACTTTAGAATCTCTCTTAGGGAAGTGAGTTTGTTTTTAAAAGCCCAGCCTATTCACAGGCTGTAAAGATGAGGACAAAAGAGATTTAAAAAAAGTAAAAAGGCCCACCAAACAAATAACTTCCAAATTAACCCTACCTCTTTTACTTTTTTCCTTAGATCTCCCTTACAGGTCAAATTAACCCTATATCCTTTAACTTAACAATTTATCTGAACTAAAACTCCTCTAAAAATCAAAATGTATAAATTATTTTTTCTATCTAGGAATATAACACTATAAAAACCATGCCTTTTCTTTCTCTGTGTCTTCTGACTTGTTAACAGAGGTCACTTGCTATGATGACCCCCCTGCATTCCAACCCAGGCAAGAGTGAGACCCTGTCTCACCAAAAAAAGAATCACTAAAAAAAGAGCTTATTAGGGGGGAAAAAAGGATGTTACTTTTCACCACAAGCCTCAGTGTGAGTGGGGGCAACCCCAGTCCACTCTGCTCACAGCTGCAGACGCCCCGTCAGCGCAGCCGCCTGCGCCCTGTGAGGACTGAGCACCATGGACCCCACAGTCGAGGGCGACTTTGGTTTGTTTTAAAAGAAATGCAGCTACTTCCATCTTCCCGAGCTTAGGCTGCTGGCGTGTGGTCATCACTGCTCTGGATGTTTGGCTTAAGCCAGAGGGGACTCTTATAACTCCCCTTCTCCCCAGAGCAGGCAGTCCCATGGCAGCAGCACCGCGACCCACGAGCCAGTTGCCGGGAAGGGACACGCTCGTGAGGCCTGCCGGGGACTGCAGCAGACGGCCCAGCAGTCTGCCAAGCGACCGACACAGGCGATTTCCTGAAAGGAGCAACCTCGACACAAAAAGGATGATTTCATGTCAGGCTTTGGTATTTTTGTGCTATCTACGCAAACGTAATGGAAAAAGATACTAGGAGGAAAAACTAATTTGATTAATGAGGGCACACAGAGAACACAAGTGTGGTTTCCATATAAAGTTAAGTGTCTCAACATGCACGTGTGCTTTGAACTGAGTCACGGCCAATCCGATCTACAAAGCAAAGACACTGCGGACAGTGTGGCCACCGCCAGAAGGGCACTGTGCGCAGCAGACTGACGAGGGTATTCCTTCTGAGCCAGCCGGGCTCCCACGATCCAGGGGTCGGCACGGCAGCCCTTATCACCGACTGGCGTGAGGAAGCCACCGTCCTCCCTGTGAACATCACTGGAAGAATGTGCTAAACTCCTAAGTGACCATTCATTAAATATGAAGCCAACTTTTTATTTTAGCAGAGAACATCTTTGGTTTTTAGTATAAAGCAATGAGAAAAAGTTAAAGGACCACTCTAAAAACGTTTGCTGCGAGCCGCATAGATGTTCTTAGAAGGAGAATACCTATGAGACAAATTGCATATTTTCTAACACAGTTTACAATGTAGCTATGTATTCCTAAACCCCTGTCTGTCTGGAATGAGAACATCTATACGGCAAATGATGTTTTTCTTTTTGCACAGGATACAATGGAACTACATACTTCTAAACCGTTGTTTTTTCTAATGGTTCAGAAATTGACCTGAAATGTTACAGTGCAAGGACCTCATGGTGCAGTGGACACAACACGCCTCACAAAGGGCAAACTTCGTTTTGTGATTTTCTTTTAAAGTCCAGTTTTCTTGTCTAGTTGGGCACTGCAAAACGATCCAAAAGTTTTACTTTAGATGTCCATAGTATTAAGAGTTTATCAGCCGGGCGCGGTGGCTCACGACTGTAATCCTAGCACTCTGGGAGGCCGAGGCGGGTGGATCGCTCAAGGTCAGGAGTCAGGAGTTTGAGACCAGCCTGAACAAGAGCGAGACACCATCTCTACTAAAAAATAGAAAGAAATGATCTGGACAACTAAAAATAATATATAGAGAAAAAATTAGCTGGGCATGGTGGCACATGCCTGTAGTCCCAGCTACTCGGGAGGCTGAGGCAGGAGGATCACTTGAGCCCAGGAGTTTGAGGTTGCTGTGAGCTAGGATGACGCCATGGCACCCTAGCCCGGGCAACACACTGAGACTCTGTCTCAAAAAAAAAAAAAAAAAAAGAAAGAAAGAAAATTCATCTCGATGACTACAAGAGAATCTGTGACTTTTCTGTAGAGCAATTAGAATTAATAAATCTACATTTTAAAAAGTACCAATGCATAAGGCACCAAGTGTAAGGCTGTTGGGAGGGCCAATTATCATTATTTAGCACCATTTTTGATGTATGGTAAACTCTCAAAGGACAGCTGTGATTATCGATCTAACACTTTGTAAGTTTCTAACGCACCATAACTTCTGGCCTATTAATGTGAAAAGTAAGAAAACGGGTGACGGTGTTGACAGGGACACTCCCAGAGGCAGCATTGCTGGGCCCCTTCCCAGCCCCGGCTGCCCAGACCATCTCCGACATCGTAGCCAGACGACCTGCAAAGTCACAATTGACCGGTGTCCCTCTACTCAAAAGCATCCCAAGGTGCCTACAGAAAGCACAAACTTCCGAGCAGCAAATTCAAGACCAGAGAAAAATACTACAGAGTAACAGAAAGGAAACACCTCGGGGCCCCACATGAGCCAGCCCCTTACCTGCAGGGCGGGCCACACCCTCCGATGGCTCCAAAGACCAATTCCTTTCCAGTATTTTCGACTGAATCTTCTGCATCAGCATTTAGATATTTTCACCTCGTTCCAACCCTTGAACCCCTCCACATGCACACACACAGCACTGGACGTGAACTCCTGCCTCCTCCGGCTCCCCTCTGCCCCGCCAGCCACTGAGTGCTACGCCCACCTCTACCACCCAACTCACCCTCCTGAAGCTGTTCTCACCAAGGTCGTCATGACCTCATGCTGCAAATTCAAACGGCCCTATCTGTGCCCTGAACTGAATCAAGGTCTCTGCAGCACCTGATACTGCCCTTACCTCCTCCTGAAACGGTCCTGGGACACCCAGACACTTCTTGGTATTTCTGAAAAAGCTAATGGCATGAAGACAACAACGAACCCCACATCCCACCCATACGGGACACTGTTGCTGAAACCCCCATACTAGGGAGACAAAGCATCGCCCAGGGCCTCAAGCAGCCACGGGGAAGAGGACAGCACAGCACTCCCAGCGCTTGCTCCCCAGCAGCACAGACAGGAATGTTCCACCAGAGGAAGCTCCTGAGCTGACCGAAGGCTCAGAAGCCAGAGGCAGCACTTTCAGGGTTTAAGTGAACGAGAAAGAGACAAACACCAGGACTCCTGCTCTGACCATCGTAACATCTCCAACTGCAGCCTGGGCCCCTCTCTGCCCGACCAACACATGCCAATCCAGATCGAGTACTTCTGGGTGTGAGGCGTCAGGCTGTGACCTGAGTGTCACACCGCAGAGCTGGGGGTGACGATGCTGCCAGCACTTGTCCTTTCTGGAAACACCCAAGTGTGACAAGCACTAAACCAAGTGCTTGTGTTACCATTTCTTGTGCTGTTTATTCACAACCACCCAGAAGTAGGCCTTAGTAGGCCTCAGCATCCCCATTCTATAGACAGAAACAGAGGCTTAGAGCACGAAGCACAAGATCGCAATGCTCTCGTCTGTTCTGCTACGCTGCCTTTCTGCACCATGAAAAGGAACAGAGCTGAGGCACGCAGGCCATGCACAGCTGCAGAAACAGATAAAATGCAGGCTGGGTGGGTCACGAGCCTGTGGTGCCAGCTACTGGGGAGGCTGAAGCAGGAGGATCGCTTGAGCCCAGGAGTTCAAGGCCAGCCTGGGCAATGTACCCGGACCCGGACTCTTAAAAAAATAAAGAAGTAGACACACCGGAGGGAGAGCTGACATCTCCTGGCCCAGGAGCTCAACCCAGTGCCTGGGACCGCACCACCGGCAAAGGAAAGCACGGCTCTCATTCCTTCCGAAGCCACAGGCAGGAGACCCTCACCTGGACCAACATGCCAGTCACCAAGCCACGCGCAACCAGGGCCTGGCAGCCCTGCGTGGCACTGCCCAGGTCCCTCCTACCTGTGGACGACGCCCTCCCAGCAGCTGCAACAGCTAACCTGCCTCTCATCAGCCACCGTGCCATTCGCACCCCCGTAACCTCAGCTCTCAGGCGAATTAGCTTGTGCGCCCACCACAAACCTTCCCAGAGACCTCCCAGCCGGCTCACTCTCTGCCTTGCGCTTACAGAGGGGAAGACTGGGATGCAGACACGTTGCGTTCCATCTCTGCTCTGACGCCACACGTCGCTCGGCCCACCCGGCACCGCCCTTGTTCACTTAGGCAGACCCCCACTAACAAATGACAACTGCCATCTCCATCCCCTCACCGGCTATGACCTCGAAAATCCTCTGCAAACAGAACTCCACTTCGAACAAAACACTAAGCCAAACATTTCTCTTTCAGATTCAGAACTAGTTTCAGTAGGCTACTGAAACAAATGCCATCAAAATTGCAGTCAGCTTTTTTGCTGAAAGTGACATGCTGACTCTAAAATGTACGTGGAAGGCAAAGGACCTAAAACAGCCGAAGAGCTCTGAAAGAGCAGCAGCAAAGCTGGAAACGTGCACTTCAAGACGTGCTGGAAGACGCAGTGGCAGGAGGCACGGCGCTGACAGACAGCAGTGAATAGGACAGTCCACAGTGATGTTCAACAAAGCACCAAAGAAACACAAGTGGGTGGGTATTCACACCACATAGATCACTCAAAATAGCTTTGGTTTTTTTCTAACATAAAAAAATCAGAAGCCATTGCAGTACATTGAGCTCCATACAGACAGCGCCAGGGCAAGTGAGAGCCGGACGGGCACTGGGCGACTCTGTGCCTCGCTGAGGAAAAATAACTAAACATGGGCCAAGGAGAATCCTAAGAAGCCAAGAGGCAAAATGTCATCACACGCATTCTTTGTGCAAACTTGCCGGGAGGAGCACAAGAAGAAACACCCAGATGCTTCAGTCAACTTCTCAGAGTTTTCTAAGAAGTGCTCAGAGAGGTGGAAGACCACGTCTGCTAAAGAGAAAGGAAAATTTGAAGATATGGCAAAGGCGGACAAGGCCCTTTATGAAAGAGAAATGAAAACCTATATCCCTCCTCAACCGGAAACAAAAAAGAAGTTCAAGGATCCCAGTGCACCCAAGAGGCCTCCTTCGGCCTTTTTCTTGTTCTGTTCTAAATATTGCCCTAAAATCAAAGGAGAACATCCTGGCCTATCCCTTGGTGATGCTGCAAAGAAACTGGGAGAGATGTGGAATGACATGCTGCAGATGACAAGCAGCCTCATGAAAAGAAGGCTGCAGAGCTGAAGGAAAAGTACGAAAAGGATATTGCTGCACACCGAGCTAGAGGAAAGCCTGATGCAGCAAAGAAGGGAGTTGTCAAGGCTGAAAAAAGCAAGAAAAAGAAAGAAGAGGAGGAAGAGGAGGAAGATGAGGAAGATAAAGAAGATGAAGAGGAGGAGGAAGATGAAGAAGATGAAGATGATGAATAAGTTGGTTCTAGCACAGTTTTTTTTCTTGTCTATAAAGCATTTAACCCCCCTGTACACAACTCACTCCTTTTAAAGAAAAAAATTGAAATGTAAAGCTGTGTAAGATTTGTTTTTAAACTGTACAGTGTCTTTTTTTGTATAGTTAACACACTACCGAATGTGTCTTTAGCTAGCCCTGTCCTGGTGGTATTTTCAATAGCCACTAACCTTGCCTGGTACAGTATGGGAGTTGTAAATTGGCATGGAAATTTAAAGCAGATTCTTGTTGGTGCACAGCACAAGTAAGTTATATATGGGGATGGTAGTTTTTTCATCTTTAGTTTTTTCTAATGCAGCTTAAATAAAATAATTGTTGTTCTGTTAACTGAATACCACTCTGTAATTGCAAAAAAAAAGTTGCAGTTGTTTTGTTGACATTCTGAATGCTTCTAAGTAAATACAATTTTTTTATTAAAAAAAAAAAAAATCAGGGGCCAGGCATGTTGGCTCACGCCTGTAATCCTAGCACTCTGGGAGGCCAAGGTGGGAGGATCTCTCCAGCCAAGAGTTTGAGGCTGCAGTGAGCTGCGATGACACCGGAGTACTCCAGCCCAGGCAAGAGAGACCATCTCAAAAAACAAACAAGAAAATCCACAGATCAAAATGCAAAAAGCATAAAGCAACATCTACTACATGCAGTGAGTGACAAGGTGTCATCATTCCTGTCCCTGGACTTCCAATCGCCTCACCTCAGGCACCTGCTACTGAGTTATTGTTCTCTTCCAGGAACATAGGATCTGTATCTGAGCAAATGCACGCGTGTACATATGTTCTCCATTTCACATAGCCGGTAGCACGCTATGAACACCCCACACTGCACTGTTATGCTTATACCTCTTAGAGGCATTTCCCTGCATGCCCCATGAAAACATCCTCTTCCTTCAGTACTCCCACGTGAACGCACAAGTCTGTCTACACTCACGGACACGCCAGCCTGCTCCTAAATCCTGTAAACGCTTTAAAGCAAATTTCCGAGAACTATTCTGTGGAAAAAGAAAGCTCACAGTGGTACCAAGTAATAATGAATTCAAGAATATTTTAACCAACATTTTTATCCAAAAGTTGAACAGAACTAGAGCTAAAAGAACCATCACTCCAGTAGTTTACAAAATGCCGACTGCACATCTACTGTAAAGCGAGCACCTCCTCCCTCCTTCTATAAAGGGGGAAGGATCATAATCAGCACTTTTCAACCCGTAATTAGGTGCTTACTGGGTACCAGGTAGGTGACCATTACATGAAATGGTTCAATACAAACTTGTACACGTGATAAAAACACAACGCAAGGTGGGGTTGCTTATGTTAATACCTTTACAAAGAAAACACATATTGGTAATATTTCTAAAATATCCAACTAAAAACACAAAACATTACGACACGTGCAATTGGTCAAACACAGCAGTCATCAGTTTTGATGAGATCACTCAGCCTCTGGGGTGAGAGTGGCCCGTCCCCCGTCGGAGGAGCCCACATGCAGCTGACCCACCTTGGCAGCCCTCACGGCCTTGATCTTCAGCAGCATGTCCACGAACGCCACCCTCACCTTCTCCGAGTTGTCGTGCAGACTGTACCGGAGAGTGGGCAGGAGCTGCTCCAGCAGCGGGTGGCTCAGCCTGTTGTCCAGCACCATCGGCAGACACTGCAGGGAGGACACACGGGTCACAGGGTGCTCGATGACAGATCCATCTCCACTAGAGTTACCAGCGAGACAAACATGCCTATAGAAAATGACCCTTCCTAAAACGCTGTCATGTAAAAAGCTCACCTTTAATGAATTAGTGTACTTTCAAAAATTGAAAGAAACACAGAACTGCTGGTAGTGTGGTCTCCAAAGACACTGCATCCAAGAATCCTTTATTTTTTTAGAAACAGGGTCTCACTCTGTCACTCAGGCTGCAGTGCAGTGGTGCAATTGTAGCTCACAGCTGCTTCAACTCCTGCGCTCCAGCAACCCTCCTGCCTCAGCCTCCCAAAGTGCTGGAAGTACAGGTATGCGGAACCACACCCAGACCCTTTTATTTTTTTTAACAGCACATAAATTCTCTGTATTTCCTGACTTGATATTGCATGAAAACTGGAGGGGCAGGCCCCGGTGTGGTTTAAGACCCGCACCCCCGGGCCGGCCACACTGCGCCCAGACCAGCAGGCGGCGCTCCTCCGTGGGACAGGGGCGAAGTGCCCACCCAGGCCAGGCTGAGGCCAGAGCCCAGAATCCGAGCGCATGCACACCTCAGGCTCTGCTGCCCTTTCTTCTCAGTTATTAGGACAAAGGATGTTTTTGAGAGTCTCATTAAAGGTACACATGGTATGCCACAAAAGTATATTTTAGTGTATAATAATTTTTTTAAAAATTCAAGTGCATCTGCTCCTCTTCTAAAGCACTGTGCCCAAGGACGGTCTGAGGTGACTGTGACTCATCTGCCCCCACCACCAACACCCACCTTGGTCAAGGCCACCCCCGCGCTCTGCCACCCTCCCCCACCACACCACCAGGGATCAGCACGCGGTAGGAGCCGCATCCCTTAGCGCAGCCCGGTGCCTTCACAGGCTGCCTTGCAGCTGAACTTCCCTCCCTTCCCAGGGGCGCCCGTGGTGCACCCTCGTCCATGCCGCGGGTCACCTCCACGTCAGAGCCACCTGCCGGGCAGATGCTCGTCTGTGAACTGAGCCCAGCCGCACGGACCGCAGGCAGAGCCACGGCTGGAAATCAGAGTGCCAGGGTGGGCCACCACCACAAGGAGCAGGTAGGTCCCCGGAAGCCCGGCCCTCAGCCGACAGGGTAAGAGGATCCACCACGACAGGGCAGGTGGAGGGAAAGAAGGATCACAACATTGTCCCGAAGGACAGGGGACAGTCTTGGTTCAAATTCTGCTCAGAGACCAAAAGGAGAAATTGTCGTGGGAAACTGACCTTGGCGAGAAGCGCCTCAGTGACACAAGGACCTGGAAGACACTTCACAGCAGACCAGGGAACAGGCAGGGACGGAATATTTAAATGACTCAAGTCAATCCAAGTACACTCTATGTAGGCTCTACGCAAAGCACTCACAGCACGATCCCGCTGTAAAGAGGACTGTTATGCATGTGTCACCTGTGAGGTAACAAGGAGACTCCTGAACTGGGCAAGGACCAGCCTCATGGTGCTGTGCGGGGACCACAGCAGTGAGGGTGGGGGGGACACTGGGGCCTCGCAGAGCAGGGGCGGGCCTGGCCCTCCGTGCTCGCCAAGATGCGCAGCGACCCCCCTCCAGAGCTGGAAACCACTGGGCAGCACCATGCGCCACCAACATCAAGGCCATGAGCTCCACGGCTCAACGGCCCGATGCACGTGGCCCATTTTGTGCTGACAGACCGAGGACCGGCTCACACATGTGCCTTTGCTCCAAGACGTTGCACAGAGACAGAGAAGGACAAATCCGATGGTGCTGGGACCTTCCTGCCACACACTAAAAACTACTGTTATTTCCAATAGCCACTGTTTGTGTGTTGAAAATACTTTTAATTTGGTTTTTAAAAGCCTCACTTTGGATATACAACAAAAACGCCAACGGTGTTGTCTCCGTGGAATAGGACTATGGGTCATTTCTACCTTTTTCCTTCTCCTTGTTTTCTGACTGCTCTATGAGTCAACATTGCTGGTACAACTGTAGAACCGCACCTTGAAGACAGAGCAGCGCACGTCGGCGGAGCTAGTGTCGAGCGCCAGCTCCTCCGTCACCTTCTTCAGGAGGTCGATGAGAATGGTCGGAGGCAGCATCTCCCAGTATTTGGAGGTTATTTTGCAAACACCAAGGATCCCTGTGGAGCGGACCATCGGGTAAGGATCTTCTAACAGGCTCTGCAGGTAGGAGGGGAAAGGCCTGAAAATCTTAAGTCAGCTCCCTTTGCGTCAACGTTTGCTTTACACATCGGCACTCTGGGGATTCACACCTTCACGACAGACACTTGAAGCCACAGAAACGTACAGATTCCTGGATCTCAGAGTGTTTACGAGAACCAGCCAGAAACACGTGGCGCCTCGTTTGCTGCGCCCCATCTGCAAGGCTTTGCCGAGGGCAGGGTCTCGGACCCGCTCCTCACGCAGTGAGTCTGCAGACTGGCCGGCCGTGGCCCACATGCACCGCTCAGGCATTGTCTACAGGCTTGCCCTGAAACATGAGCAAGGTCTGTTCATTACACTATCCAACAGCTTTACAGTAGCAATGACACAGAGAAGTTAAGGAACTTGCCCAAAGTCAGACAGCTATTAAGTGAGAGCGATGGACTCAAACGCAGGGGTCCTGACACCAGAGCGCATGCTCTACCCACTAGGTGACACCACCTCTCACTGGGGAAACAATAAGAACACACATGAAATGTTTAAAACCACACGAGGTGGTAATTAAATGTCCCAGAAGCGACTCAGAGGAAGAGAAAAAGCAGGCCACACTGTTGCAGAAGGTCCCAGGAGGGAATAGGCCTTTCTCAGAAGAAAGGATGAGGTCTGGAGAGCAGGCCCTGTGGGCAGAGCTGGCCGCACAGCAGGCGGGGGACCCCACGCGAGCGCCAAGCGTGCGCCTGCACAGGGCTGACCCACAGTCGCTCAACCACACGACATACGTACATAGAGTTCTTCAAACTGCCTCTGAATTTCACCATCCATCTCAGCCGCCCGGAGGCTTGGATCCCTGATAGGAAATGCTTCAACAAACAACAGCGCAGCGTTTGAGCGAACTTCAGAGTTTCTGGCCTGTGATAACAAAAAGTACTTCAGAATCCAGAGAGTTAACATACAAAGGCCTAAGTCCAGTGTTCCCAAAGTAGCACTTTTATGACTCAACACACTTATTTACAAATAAAAACAATTATAACACTTAAATTGACCAAACTTTGTAAGGCCTTCCTTAAACTAAGCAGAACTCTCCGTTCAATGTCAATAGATTACTTAAAAAAAAAAAAAATCAGCTTCCTTGCTGCAAAGCCCCCTCATGTCACAAAGAAACGGTCACCACTGCGTCCCAACAGCGGACGCCAGGCCGCCTCTGCCCTCCTACAGCCGCGAGGCCCCCGCGGGCTCTTCACTGAGTGCCGCCAGTCCCCTCCACAGCCCGTTTCCTTCAAACACCTGTGCGGTCAGCACTAAAGTCATCCAAATTTCCAGTTAAATGTACCCAAGAACTGCTTTTGATAAAAGAAAAAAACATTTTTCCAAAATTCCACAAAGTACTCAGTCAAAAATCTTATTTTTATAAGCCAATTAACAACTTTGAATTAGAGTTTGCTGAACTCATAAGCATAATTAGTGCCTTCCACACATGGATAAACTGTTTAAAATGCATACCTTTAATCCTCTCCAGAGGATGGGTTTATATAATCTGTAAAGCATCTCTTCTACACCCTGGCGAACTTTCTTTTGATGGTGAAAGTAACTCAGCACCTAAGGGCCAAAAAATAAAGAAGAGAAGGAAGACAGGCTGCAACGTTGCTCTGAAACGACCAACCTGGAGGGGGCTGTTCTCTGCACCGCAGGGGGCCACGACACCACCTCAGGACGATGCCCCAACCAGATGCCCCAACCAGACCAGCCACAGGACGCAGGACAGCACTCCACATGCAGAGATAAAGATCGATGACCCCGAGCTATAGAATGGTTTGGGCCCATCTCCACAGTTGACCAACAGCCACATAACCTTAGGGCTGGCTATTTGACCCCTGACCCTTGGGGTGGCACAGAAAGGTGCAGGGAGGCATCTGCCTGGGGGAGGGTCCCAACCCCCTCTGGCCAAGACGCTCTGACTGAACCTGTGTCAGCAACTCGCAGCGCGGCTATGTCAAGACAGGGCAGCAAAGGAGGAGCCACCACAGGACCCCTCGCTGCAGGAGCTTCACCTCCCGGAACCTGCGAGTGACTGAAACGGCCACTCCTGCAGCTTCCTGTCCTTTTCTTCCTTCCGGCCAGAACCTTCCTGCAATTCCTTACAGATGCTTATTCCCAGCATCAACCACCTTTGCCTGACTTCTTTAACTCACACGCTGGGAAGTAAAATTTATTGGCGAAAACGGGAAAAATTTTAGAATTAAACAGGCCATGGAACAACAGCCCCGGCCGGGCGCAGTGGCTCGTGCCTGCACATCCAGACTGCAGGAGCTACGGTCACACTGCGGCACCCGGCAAGGGTGAGACTTGGTCTCACAACAGCCCGTCCCTTAAGTGAGCTGCTTGTATCAACTTTACCCTAAAAGAACTGCTGTCTGGAGATTATTTTTTCTGATTATTATTTTGGAGCTTTTAATGATGGCGACCTGGGTCTGTAGTCTGCTTTTTTTGTGCACAGTATCATCAAGTTCTGGTATCAGTGGTATACTCGCTCCATAGAAAGATCTTCTATGCCACATGCCATAAAATTCACTCTTTCACAGTGTACAATTCAGTCGCTTGTAGCATGTTCAGAGTTGTGTAACCATTGGCTACCAACTAATTCTAGAACATCTGCATCAACATTATCAGGATTTCTACCTCCAAATGATGTCTGAAGAACTACGTGAAGTTTCTTTCAGCATATCAGTAAGATGATGTATCAGATAAATTTAATACTTATCAAATAAAAAACAATTTGAGAAAGAAGCTATAATGTGTTATACACATTAGAAACAATTACTTCAAGTCCAGTAATACATTTCACTTGAAAAGTGAATCTAATATTCTTCCTTTGAATTATTTTTGTGCTTTTTTCCATAAACTTACCAAATAGTTATATCTATACTTATAATATCTTAATTACTAAAACTACCACAAGAAGAAATAAGATATGAAAAAAAGTCATTAGTTTTTTGGTACCAAGAGTGAAGCAACTATGTCAAATTTTTTGTGTAGTTTAACATGATGCAATTCTTTATTACTAAACAGAATTTGAAGCGCCAAATCATATATGTGAAATAAATAACCCAAACTGACTACAACTAAATAAAGCCACACTGGGATTGGGGGAGGGGTGGAGAGATTCATTTAATATATTTATCCTAAATATATGAAATCATAATTTTTAAACCCTCTGGGAAACTCAGTGATCTAGATAAATCTCTGAGTTCTTAATCCTTGGGTAACAAACTAAATCATTAATAATATAAAGAAATGTTTTCTTATCCATTCAAAATTAATATAAGTAATATATTCATACTACACAAATAGTAATCTCACTATACAAAAAACAAAGAAAAAGGTAGCCTCTGTCCAGCTCGCTTCTTGACAACGTGGTTGCTAAAAGCGACAGCCAGCAAGCGCAGCCTCCCTGTGAATCCTGTGACCAACAGATCTGCTGGACTGCACCGAACACTCAGACCACATCTCCCACGTCCCCTTGCCGGGACCGCCACGGTCAATCTGGCACCTGCTGGTGTATTGACACTGAGGGTAGCGCCTTCTGTAGTCAAACCACTTACAAAATTGCTACCTACATTCTGAGATTACCTTCTAAAAACAAAACATCTTATCAAGAGAAAGTATTGAAACATTTATTCCATTTGGTTTGAACACCAAAATGGGAATTTAATGTATAAAAGTAAGTAATAAAAATTTGGAAACTGTGCATGCTGGAAGAAGAAGAAAAATAATGAAAAAAAAATTTAAATTAAAAGTAATAAAAATAATTTCAAACATCCTCTAAGATCTTTGAAACAGTAATAGTGGCAAAAAGTGATGATTCTAGAAATTCTTCAGTCAGAGAACTGAATTAAAGGTTGCTCAAATAAAGTGGACTATCTTCACAACGATATACCTTTGCTTTCCTCATTAAAACTTCGCAGTAGGAATAAAACTGCCAGACACCAGATATCAAGACCCTGAGAAATCCCTCTGACAGATGCCTGGGAAAGCTCAATTTAACCCCAACAGTGATCTAGAAACACAACGGAAGAGACAGTGTTTCAAAAACAGTCTGTTCACAGCTGGTGCGACTGAGAGCCTGGCTCACCTCCCGCACTTTGGAGTGCACTGGGGACTTCCGGGGAAGGTGGATCCCGTGGAACATGAGGTCCTGGATGCACTCGTTTTCGATCGTCTGAAACGACAAATGTGATGCAAGGCGCTGGGCACGGGTCCCACAGGTGACCTGACAGGCGGGGCAGCGCTCAAGCATCCTGTGTTTCACGAGGAAAACCTAGAACCTTTCACCAGAGATTTCTTATTCTACGCCCTTACTTCTTAGAATTTCTTTAGTTTTCATATACCAAGGAGAACGCTTAGCTGCTTCTGTCTCATTTGACTGAATATCAGATCTGTGTCAAATGGCAAGGTAAGTTCTACCCTCCACTCGCATCCGTTCTAACCAAAGTCCAGAGACGGGGGGAGTGGCGTGTGTAGAGCCCCTCGTGCATCCCCCCAGCCTGGACAGCCTCCGGAGACCAAACCTGTTCCAGCCGCCTCCCCAGAACCGAAAGAGAGCTACCTCTGTGGTGGAGGCCGATTCCAGACCGAAGCAAGATCTTTTGGGGCTGCTGCTGAGAAGGGCTGGTCTGGGCCGGTGTGGGAGCTGCTGAGTATGGCAGCTGAGGAGAGGCCAAGCCCCCAAGAGCAGCCCAAACCCCAGTGGACCACAGGGTCTGTCACCCGACTCTGTGTCCCCCTCACGTGCATGCAGGACTTGCATGGCCTTAGGGAAGGACCAGAGGAAACACTGCCATGAATATTAACCTGCTCCATTACCTCTGAAAATCGCCTTCACCTGAAGACACTGATAAATCTTAGCATCGCTTGACGTGGGACGACTTACACAGCCCGTGGCCTGGAGGAAGTATGAGACACACAGCACTAGCTGGGAAGTTACTGGGCCTTGAAAGTTGAACCCAGACCTTCAGAGCTGGCTAGCAGAACGTGGACATTCTACAGGACAACTGACCCACTGTCTTCAACATGTGGATGGCAGAGGTTTCAAAAAAAAAGAAGGGGTGGGGAACCTGCAGCCTTAAGGCCACATTGTGGCTTTTTAGGCCCTTAAGTAAGGTAACAAAGGGAGGTGAACTAGCAGAAATGACATGAGGACTGAACGGCACCGTCCAGCAGAAACAATGCGAGCCACAAACGCATTGTCACATTTTCCAGTGGCCACATTAAAAACAGATAAAAGAAACAGGTAAAATTATTTGAATAACGTAGTTGTCCCTCGGTATCCGTGGGGGACTGGTTCTAGCACCTTCCTGGGACACCACAGTCTACAGGCGCCCAAGCCCCATACAAAGTGGTGCATTTGCACATAACCCACCCGCAGCCTCCGCACACTCCAAATCTCTGGATTACTCATAACACATGATGCATGTAAATGGCATGTAAACAGTTATTATATTGTATTTCTAGGGAGTAATGACAAGAAAAAGAAGTCTATACATGCTCATTTTTTTCCCCAAATATGTTTGATCCATGGTTGGTTGAATTCACGAATGCAAACCCACAGACGCAGAGGGCCGATTGTATTTTGTTTAACCCAATATATCCAAACCACTATCATTTCAATTTGTAATCAATATTTTTAAAAAGTATTACTGATATATTTTATATTCTTCTTTTTCCATATGAAATACGGTGTGTTTCTTATACTTGCAACACTTCTCAATACAGACTGGCCACAATCCAAGGGCCCAACACCCCCACGTGCCGGTCAGTGTATGCCGACAGCTACCCAGTGACGAGAGGTACAGCTCAGCCTCCCTCGGCCACCTCCCAGTGAGCCGCGCCACTCGAGGGCCCGCGAGAACTGGGTGTCCTTCCCACCACACAGATCTTCTTTACTGGCTTAACTTGACAGAGCGCATGAACACAAGTCTTAACTAACCCTTCCTTGATTACTTATTTAGTAACTAAAATCAATAAAAATAAGTGTTAATATTTAATAAAATTAAAATACCTCCAATATTTTCCCTGAAGCCTTTTTCCAAGCTCTGAAATAAATGTCTGCAATGTGTACCATCAAAGACCTATTAAAAAAGACCAAAATATTGTAATGTAAGTTTACAGAATTATACTTTTACCATGTATCATTTAGATACTCTCCTACCGTAGGGAAGAAGGGACTCAGTTTAGATTAGTGCCTTTGCACGGTCTCTGCAGAGGTGTTGCTAACACTCACCTGTGGCTCCAGTAGAGCAAAAAGAGTTTTGGGAAGGGAAATGGAAGTGACAACCTACTTCCTCCTCCTCAGCCGAGGCTTACCTGGAACTTCACTATTTTCTGTGAAACTATGAGAACATAAGCCCAAAACCAAAAAAATTTAAACACAAACAAACTTTTGACTTGGAGTCATTTTGGACTTTCCAGGCTACTAATTCCTCAGGTACAAAAGTCCTAAAATACTAGAACTGACTTTAGAATCATAGACATTTAGAAATCTATTAGTTCAACCCCAAATATTCTGAAGATGAGGAAATATGAGAAAGCAATCTAGTGTACAACAGGAGCTCTGCAATCAGGAATCCAGAACCAAATCCCAACTTCGTACTTACAAAGCTACCCGTCAGTGGGAGAGTCAACAACCAAAGCCCTCCTCGAGAGACAGCTGTGAGGACGAAATCTGAAATGCAGACTGAGCACTCCACAGCCTTCCCCTCGGGGCACGTGGACCCTGCAGGCTCCTGCCCCCCAGCCACACAACCCAGGCCAGATTCCCTCAAAATGTCATCGGAAGTACCAGTGACATGGGCGTTATTGTCAGTGGGGCTAAGATTTAACTGGCAAACAATTTGACTATTTAAAGAACTACACAATTTAAAATCTTAATTTCAATGGTCATTACTGAAAATGAATGATTTCCTACAGAAGGAAAAAAACTATCCAGTAATACAATGGCACAAAATAAGTATTAATAACACAACTATAAAATATAATTTCTAAAGCTTCCAATACATTAATATAACTTTTAAAAGTCATACAAGGCCAGGCATGGTGGCTCACACCTGTAATCCCAGCACTTTGGGAGGCCGAGACAGGAGGATCACTTGAGGCCACGAATTCAAGACCAGCCTGGGCAACATAGTGAGACCCCATCTCTACAAAAAAATGTAGAAAAAATTAGCTGGGCATGGTGGCGCCTACAGTCCCAGCTACTCAGGAGGCTGAGGCAGGAGCACTGCTTGAGCCCAAGGAGCTGGAGGCTGCAGTGAGCTATGATCACACTACTGCACTCCAGCCTGGGCAACAGAGCAAGAACTTGTTTCCAAAAAAAAAAAAAGTCAAATCAAATAGAATCTTTCAAAACCAGATTAAGACAGCAAAAAATTTTAATTACCCTTAATACTTACTTTTGTAATCCCTCTAACTGGTTTTTAATGGTCCCATGGATCATTTTAATAAAGTTTATATTCCAATTGAAGAGAGAACTAAGAAATCTTCTTCCCTATAAATAAAAAGGACATGATGTCAAAACTGCAACCAAATAGAAAGTTCCCAATAACAATTCTATGAATGTCTAATAATGTTAAAAGTTAGCTATTGCTAAAAAGGAAGCGCACACAGTTACAAGGTGGAATATGAGCGCTGAGGCTGAGCGGGGACCCAGCCCACAGCTGCACAGCGTTGGGGCCTTGGAAGCCGCCTCCCATGGAGGGCTGAGCAACGTCGGCAGACATTCGCCACGGTCCACGAACATTTCGCTCCGGCTCCATGAGGCAGCAGTGCAACCGCAACCCTAAGAAGACTTTAAGTCTAGCATTTGCGGGTAGTGATAGAATTGAATTATCAGTTCATTTCATCTCCTCATTTATAAACGAGGAAAGTAAGGACTCGTGGTTAAGACGCTAAGTGCCTGTCAAGCTGGAATTCCAGGTGTGCAGTCTCATGAGGTGCACCTGTGAGGCCACAGGCACCCCAAGGCAAAGGCACGTGGAAGGCTCCGTCACCTCTGCAGCCGGGGCTTACAGTCGGTGCTCAATAATCAACTACGGGAGGACCCCAGCACTGTGGAGCTGTACAAACTTTGTTAATACAGAAAATTCAATTAATTTTAACATCTTATGTAAAATAATATAGCCAAAATATTATCATTTTATTAGGTATATGATAAATATGAAAATTACTGATGAGCTGTTTTATACACATAAGGCACATCTCACTCAGGCTCCGTCTCAAGTGCTCAGTAGCCACCTGTGGGAGGGGCCCAGCACGGGCAGCGCCGCCGGGCGCCAGAGACCTCCCTGGGATTCGCTGGACAGGTGGGCGGAGAAACAGAGAATGCAGTGCAAGGACGGTTTTGAGCACAAGCCAACTAAAGTGGAATTAGGGCAGAAGGCCAGGTCCCATCCACAGGGAAGTGCTTTTCCAACCTTCTTTTTAATCATTCTTAATTTAAAATGCAATTATGGCTCCCCCAGGACTCACCTCTAGCCACCTGTTACCATCCAATCTAATGACAAAATAAGGACTTGTAAAATGTTTGCTTTAGTACCGCGTGTGGTAAAAATGACATGCAATAAATATGTAATAATCTCTCAGGAAAACACTGAGCACAGCGTAAACAGCAACATGAATTTAGGAAGAGGATCTATTAAAAAGCAGCTCACGGACAGACTGAAAAAGAAAACCTCCTTACCTCTTCTTTCTTGATGTGATTAATATTCATGAAGCACTCAAGGAGCATATCTTTAATTTCTCTACTTTCCTCCAAGTCATAATCAAAGCAATACAGAGCTTGGTGGATACGCCAAAGCCGACATATGTCTGCACCCTAGGAAGCACAAAAATGTTGTATTTAGGTTTTTTATGAACAGTAAAGTATTTCAAATTATGTATATTTTATATAATATTTCCAATTGATTCATAAATGAGTAGGAAACAGTGACAGATGAAAACAGATTTTAAAATTTGCAAATGCCACCTGTAGCTCTAGAGAACATTTTTTAAAAACCCAGGCAAAAGCAATCAGAAACCCAGCTCTGTCTGCAGGACTCCCGCAGCGACGACGTCCTGTGTCGGGGCTGTCCAGCGCAGCCACGTCTGGCTACTGAGCTGCCGAAACGTGACTTGTGCCACCAAGGAAAACACTTTTCATTATTTTTAACTTTAAATTTAAATAGCCGTATGCGGCTAGTGGCTACTATACTCAACAGCATAGGTTTAGAGTATTAGGAAGACGTTAAAAAATAAAGGCTTAGCCACGCACAGTGGCACCTCTAGTCCAAGCCACTCGGGAGCCCTAGGCGGGAGGGTCACTGGAGCCCAGCAGTTTGAGTCCAGCCCAGGTGACGTGGCGAGATCCCGACGCTAAATGGATAAATAAATAAAGTCTTGATTTAATAGCTAAACAACACTGACGGGGGGAATGCATTTTAAAAAGACAAATCAACGATGGCATAAAGACAAATTCTGACACAAGAAAAAAGAGCTTCTCAACCCCGCCCTGGGCCAGCAGCACAAGTCAGGCGCCAGCTGAGGTGCAGCCAACACCTTTGCTGTATGAACCAACCTCTCCGCGGAGAGCACATGAGACTCTTGACTCAGATGGGGGGACAGGAACAGGTGCAAGTGTTCCAGAATGCCGCTGGGAACACGCATTCAGAGCCTTCC